GTTTTACATTTCCTTTAAGCGTGTCACGAAGCCGGCCTCTGCGACGAACTTCATCTCCGAGGAGTCGAACCTCCGATCGAGCGGATGTCCATCGCAAGCGCGGGGCCCAATCGAAGGGGCGATCGGAGCACAACTCTCCGAGGTTGGGTTGATCGGCAATAAATATACCATGGTTGGTGTTATCCGACGTTTGATTACCCCGGTATTGATGATCGCCGATAAACCATCCATGATATCCAACATTTGATTCCCCCGATGTTGATGATCACCGACATTGACACACTAGAAAAGAATCTATCTTCCTTCGAACGGGTAGTGTCCGATCAAACAAAAAACAAAATATATCTCCGGTCGAAGGATGATAGGTGAATTAATCTCTCATCATGACCAAAACACGCCCGTGCTTGTGGGCGCGCGCCAGGCGTACTCCGTGGCGGACCCCCGCGTCAAGGAGCTGGCGTACGTGCTCAAGCGCTGGGCCAAGCGTCGGTGGGTCAACAACGCGAGCGAGGGCACGCTGTCGTCCTACGGCTACCTGCTGTGCCTCTTGCACTTCCTGCAGACACGGAACCCCCCGGTTGTTCCCAACCTCCAGGCAAGGCGGTGTTCTTTTTGCGGACGGTTTTTGAGAGGGGTTGATGTGCAGGCGTTGCGACTTGGAGGCAGGAGCAGCTACATATGCTGTATGCTAGGTGGTCGTTTCTGGAAGACTGTTTTTTGTTGTTTTCTCGCCCCCCTTTGTGTCCTCATACCGTGGCGACCAAGCTGTCGTTTGTGCTGTTGCCCCTTGCAAGTTGTTCTTGCTCTGTAGGGCTGTTGTAGCCACTGGGTAAGATCGTGAAATTGTCCTGTTGGCGCGCATGTGTCTGTTGCTGTTTTGTGCGCCGACGGTGCTGATTTTTCTGTCACCGAAAGCTTGGGTCCTGCTGTGCATACATCCAAGGTTTACGCAGCGACGGCGTTACCGGTGTGCTCCTCTGGCGTGACAGCATACACGTTGCATGTACCGCGCCCGTTTCGCCTGCCCCACCCCGGTACTCACCAGAGATCCCCCGTGTGGCCCGCTCCTCGTCCTTTCCGCCACCCCCTCGGGGTGACGTAATACTCCCCGGCTCTCGACCGGACTGGATTTGCTGTTGCCGTACCCGACTCTTCTTGTTACTGTTGCTGCTTCAGGCGCTGCCGCCGGACTGGGCAGGCGAACCGCTTCACGCGGTTCCCAGGTTGCCGGTCGTGATGACCAAGCAGCCCACGGATGGCTTGGACTGCGACACGTACTTTTACGACCCGCTGGTGAGTGTTTTGCACATGTGTATCCCCCCGGCCCGGTAGCGGGGGGGGGGGGGGGGGGGGGGGGGGGGGGG